TACGTGTTGCGCTCTCATTTTATCTTTAACAATTGTTTTTCCTCTGAAAACAGTTTTGAGTGCTTTTGTGAAATTCGGACGGAGACACAGATACTTGTTGATGGAATCGAAAAATTCTACTTGAGTTCTGTTATTTTTACCCCAGAATTATAGAAATATTGAATGAATTTCATGGCAAGTTTACTATTGCGTACCAGATAAGAGTTGCTGAATCTCGCTCAGGAGTATTCTGTTTAACCTACTTAGTATTTTGTATTATTCTATTTTGTGAATAAAATGGGTAAATAAGTTCCAACTAGAATCATACACTTATTGTTACCTCAAAAGTGTCCATCGCGCATGTTTCAGAATGTTTAAAGGCTTTGCGTTTAACCATTCGGTTTCTCTTAAAAATGCAGTCTTTTTTCCATTAAAATACCCATATGAAATCACGTTGACGTTTCTTGAATTTCAAGATGCCTTTCCTATTAAAAAAAAGCTCTAAGTGTTCACTTTTATTCCTCGCACACTTGCATGTTTGAGGCAATGCATTACTCTTTTCAGGGCAAAAAACGAGACCCTCCTTTCCTCCTCCTTTTTTGAGACCTATTTCTCAAAATATTTTTTTTTGCAAATCTTCCTTTTTCTCAAATTACTGTTCACATACCAGAAGTCAGTGTTTTATTTATTTAAAATAAACGAGCAGTAAAATCAATAGCTGTCATTTTTTCGACGATGATATTATCTCAACATAAGTGGTGCATTGCTCTCTAGTCTATTGGAATACGTTTCGAAGATTTCTTTCTCTTCGTTAATTTATATTACTTCCACAAAACGGCTAAATATTCACTTACTATTCGCAACACATGTCTGTTTATCTATTTTTGCTTTTTCTTTTCTAGTAGTAGAATGAAATGATTAAATGATAATATTAGTCATTCAAACATCACGGTGTAACATAAGCATGAACAGATGCGAAAGATTGAATTTCTAAAATATAATCCTATGTATGTTAGTTTTATTTTTAAATCATTAAATCTTGCTATTTTTTCTTGTAATTTAAATCTATAATATTGAAGGTAATCAAGTAATAATGTAACATAATTTAATCAAATCAATCTAAAATAGCTCAATTTTATTATTCTTGTTCCGAAATTTTTTCGGTCTCATCAGTTACTGTCTAGCGTTTTAAAGAATTATTTTTAATTATTATGTCAAATCCTCAAATAGTGCTTTTTTAATGATTGAACAAAGTAAGTATGAACGAACTCACTATATTTGTTTATGATATTAGTCTTACTGCAGTTGAGTTCTTTATCTAGAGATGGATATTAAATACGATGTGTAGGTTGATATGAAGAAGCTCCTTTTGATCAAAAGAACCATGGTCAATTAGAATCTATTGGCACGCTAATTCTTTCATTTTGATAGTTTTTGCTATCAAAATTCCATTTTTAGGCCTTAGTCACCATTCGTATTTGATCGATTCAAATGGAGTATTAACGAAAACCCTGAGCAATTTATTAAAGTATCTTATAGATATTTTAATACGCAAAACCATATGCCGTTTTTGAGTCGAAAATACTTATGAAAAGTTTTAAAAACTTAAGACTATTTGTTGGTGACAGTACGATTAGAGAAAGAGATGAAAAAAGAGATGCTTTTTGCTTATTAATGAATAGTATTAAATTGGTTTATGAAGAGCTATAATCAAATCGTTTGCCTTATTGTGCTAATTTATTGCATCAGTTCATAAACCTTACAGTCATCATTATATTAATCACTTACGAAATATCTGAGGATAAAGAGAAACAAGGAGCACTTGTTAAGCTACTATAGAACGAAAAAACTGACTTGCTATTATTTTTAGCTAACAGTTAGTTGTCAATTTTAGCTCAAAACTCGAGAAGATAAAGACAAAAGTTTTAAAAATTTGAGAAATAATGTGCATACACATTATTTCTTCGTTACAGACTGTGCCGCAAATATCAACTGTAAAGTATTGTTATAAGTGATTATTGGCAAAAAATGGATAAAAAAACCTTTAAAAAACTCATCATTTTATTAATTTTTCATGTTTGTTAGTTTTGATTTACGACTGTGAATCAATCGAGGATTATTAGTGTATTAAATAGGATCATAATGCACATGAATTAGCCCTAGTATACATTTAGTTCCATATATCATCGACAATAGCATATCAGTGTCTATAAGAATTTGAGCATCATTAAACTGAACAGTCCAAGAAGTCATTGGTGCGCGATCTGTCATACTTAACGTATGAAGCAAAGCTTTATCACTCGTTCCATCACATACTTTTTTTCTGTTGCACATTCATCAACTATATCTCGGTAAATCAATTAGGTTTATCTAGAAAACAGATAGATCAAACATTTCATAACTATGTTAACTTAAGTTTTAATCTAAAATGAATTTTATAACCTTACGTAATTTTCTTAAAATTATGATCATAGTGATAAATGAGATATGTTTCACTGAATTTATTTATAAATATTCAAATCATTATTTTTGTTTCCGTTTATCACATAGCTCTAATTTTGAGAAGTAGAGAAATCTGTCTGTATTATTCATCGTTCTAGTTAATTGGCATTATTACTGCACGATATCAGGCAGATTTCTATGGCAATATTCATAGTTTCTCTGAACTAGTAATCATACAGTTCTCCTTTTTTATTTTAGGAAATGCAACAAAAATGTAAAAGACCAAAGTCAAGATTCAACAGATAAAAACAACTAAACATATATTGTTTAACAAGGATATTCGTCGTTCTGCATCTGATTGTTTATTGTAAGAAA